ATCGAAGCATAGCTGGACAAATGGCAAATAAAATTATACCAGCGTGTCAGAGCTATTAATAGACATTATACTGCTTTTCTTAGGTTTACATATATTTTAAGTTGAAATTCTAAGGTAATATTATTACATTTATTTATTTTAATTTATAATATTATAAGTCATAGTTATTGTAATATGTATCGACAGCATAATTTGTTGATTTATTAAATAAATAAAATAAAAATATTGACAACAAAAACGGAAGGAAGCACTAAAAATGTTTTGTTCATTACGGTCGAGATAATATTGCTTTTTTGTGAAAATAATAATAAATAAATAAATATAATTGGGGTATAATTTTATTTTACAAACAAATTTCGGCAACATTATCAACCGAAGACCTTGCGGTCTCAGTGCAAGCAGTACAGATAAAAATCTATTACAAATCATCATCATTTGGAGTATTGGTATGCCACGATTCTTCTATATGTTCTACATTATATATACTTCTACATATGTACATTATATGTGTATACTTTTAAGTCGATATACATACTTATTAATTCAAAATGTGTCCATATTTTGAAGCTGAAGAAGTCTTGTTTATTTTCTTAAACAAGGCTTTTTAAATTTAAATTATTAAGAATATACATTGAGCATAAAGTAAGCTACACAATTATTCGACTAATCATATTATATAGTTTTTTACTATATAGAATAATTATTTAAGTGTTTCCTTTATAAAAGTTGTATTATTATATTTAATAATTATTTATATTTAATTTAATATAAAATAATAATCACAAAGCTTTTATTTTTATAAATGTGATATAGCAATAAGATTTGAGTTTTCATCAAAATCACAATGGGATTTAGAATCCATTTAATTCTTTGTGTCAGTAACAAATTCTAATCAAAAGTTTGAAGTAGCGACAACAAAATCCACCACAAAGAGCGTAATATATTTTTCAAATAAATCATAGAAATCATAGGCTTTTAAAAGTTTGGAAAACTGGAAAACCCGAAGATAGTTTTTATTAATAACAATAATAATAACAAAAATTACCAACATTTAAAACAATTAAGCATATTATTACTTAAGAAAGATCTATGAATATATATTTTTCAATTTGAACATCCCAAGAAGAAATAGCATTAAGCTTTTTCTTTAGTGTAAATACTTACATATATGTACACGTATATTTATAAATGTTTGTATGTTCTAAGTAGTACAAGTATGTGTTGCTTGTCGACGGGAACATTTGCACGTCTTGTGTTTCTGCTGTTTGAGCGTGCAAATGTTTTCGGATTTGATTTCGTTTCAAAATTGAAAAACTAAACATTCATCTTTTGGCAAAGACTGCTTCGAAAAAAAGAAAACATTGTAGCAAAGCATGAGCATGAACTAGGTACAACAACGGCAACAGCAACAGCAACAAGAGCAGAAGCAGCAGCAACAAGCAAACAAATAATGTTAGCCAAAAAGAGGAATGATGGCGCACAGACAAGCAAGCAGGCAGCTCAGCAAATGCTTTATTTGTATTTGTCTATCACATACATATACATACATACATACATAGGCAGACATACAAACACACACTTAGAGGCAGGAACACATTTACAATGCACTGCGATTTTTGGCTAAATTCGTTTCGACGGCAAAAAGGGTTTTCATTTCAACACAAACACACACACACACAGACACAGACACCGAAGACCAACTGACACACAAACTTTGTGGCCGATTTTTGTAATAACGAAAAACCGTCAATATGTGTGCGCCTTTATCTGTGTGTTTGCCTCTCAGTGTGTGTTTGTACGATCCTTTGTGTGTATTTGCGCCTTGGGTTTGGCTTAGGCCTGTGCTTGCGCCTATACGTCTGGGTTCTGGGTCTGGAATAGGGACGGCGACTGGGACTGGGACTGAGAGTCGGGCTTGGGCTTGGGTTGATTGCTTAAGTAAACGCACTCAGCTCAGCGTCGAGTTGTGTTGAGTTGAGTTGATTCGTTCAACTTTAGTTGCGACCCGACCCCGTTCAAGCAACGGTTTCATATTTTCAACTCTTGCTTTTGTTACTTTTGTATTGCTGACGTTGATTTTAAGGAGGGTCCAGTGTTTTTTCACATCCCCTTATCTCTCCCCACTCCCCTTTCCCGTTGTCGGCACTGATTTTTGCTTTTTATTTTTATTAATAGACTTTTTGTAAAATGCCAAACAATATTTTGTTGAACAGCCCATCAATGAGCAATGGGCGCCCCAAAAATTATGCTACACTTTTTTCTCATCTTCTGACCAAAGGGTTGAGTCTTTGTCTGCGCTCGTTTGTCTGCCTGTGTGTGTGTGTGTCTACGTGCGTGTCCAGCGGCTGTTTATAAAGGATAAGTTGCTAGGAAATTTTCGGTGTATGTTTAATCCGTAAATCGATATGATGATGCATTGTGTGTTTCTATGTTGCCCCAAAAATAAACCGAGAAGCAGCTGAAGCTGAAGATGAAGAGGCAGAAGCAGAAATAAAAGAATTCGTTTTTTTTCGGCCCAATTGGTGAAAGAGTCGTCGCCTCACATAGCTTTGTGGTCAGCCTGAACGTTTCATGATAGCACCAAGCAATTAATTTTGATAGGCCCTTAATTGTTGTGTGTTAGCTTTTATATTATTTTCATCGTCCTCATCATTGTGTAATTAAATTAAAGGCGTACGGAATTTATACTTTATTTTCAGAATTCTTTAACATTCTGCCCACTCATTGAGTAGAATTTGTTGACAAAGGACCCGATACAGATACACAATTATTTGCATCTCTGTCCCGCTCTCCCTCTCTCTGTATCTCAACGTCTATAATACCTTTGTCTTTGGGATCAGGCTAGTAAAGCAAAACAAACCGAAATGAGAATTATGGCTTAAGTCGGGAAAGGAATTGTGTAAGCAATTGCAATGAATTGTGTAAACAAAATATACAAAGTGAAGTATTTCGCATTCGCAAGTTCACAAAGTCGTAACAAAGTTAGCTACCTATACAAATTTACCCCGCATCTTAGTTTTGTTTACATTCAGCATTACTTGCAGCTACGATTTTAAGATTGCTGCCCTAATATATTTACTAAATGTGGAATTACATCGAAAATGGGTTTATTTATTTATGCGCCAGAACAGTAAAGCCTTGCCTCATATTTTTCTATACCAAGGCAAATTAGTATTGGCTGCATACGTTAGCATTTTGCGAAATGTTCGAAGATATAGTCTTCGCCAGAAATTACAAGTTTAATAACAAAATAGTTGAAAATATTTCACGAATAAAAAATTACTTTTAAAACAATTAGTTGATTTTTGTAATTGGAATTACTGACACAAGCGATAATAATCTTAAAAAGCCAGCTAACCTGCCCTGACAGTAAGAATAGTCTTTAATTAGTAAAGTAAAATGAAACTTGTGTACAATTTAAAAAATAATAATATTAATGACACTTATTTATCACACTTAGACAACAAAAGGAAAACTTAATTTAACGTGAAAAAATGAGAATAAAAACAAGAGAGAGTGAGTCGCTTATAAATTGATAATACTTTTATTTTAATTATTATAATTTACCATTTCTTTAATTGTTTTTATTATTAGTTTCAATAAATAAAAATTCACTTTTATAATACGTTTGGAGTATGGTTTAAAAGTCTATTTAAAAACAAAAAATGGAGGAGAAGCTATTTGTTGATTTAAAAAAACATTGTATATTATTTATTATTTTCTGTACCTCTATATACACTATAATATCAAGTTATACTGTTTGAATATAAGAAACATATATACGCGATTTATGATATTACTGCAGTTAAGCTAGCTGTGGGTACTAGATGAGTTTTGCTTTTATTGGCCGCAGAAATTCGGCTTAAAATATTTTGTTGCCTTTTCGATTGAAAAAATAAGGTACTTTATTTGTAAAACCCTTGACAATAATCAATTATTATTAACCATAACTTAGACCAAATTAAAGATCTTACAAATGTCTATACCTGTAATCAAAAGCTTCATATGGGTCTACCCGCTATATGTCTTTTATGTTTGACTGTCTATTACACAAATCAAAACTGAACCAAGGAATTATTCTTTAATTGCGGTAAATGTTTGGTTCTTTTAAATGCAGTGTCCTTACCTAAAAGATAAGCATTATTTCATTTTTATAGACAGTGAGGATATATACAAAATTGAATTTCAATTCCATGATTTATTATAAAGCTTCTCTAATCCGAAAAAATACCTAAAGTCATATAAAACATTTTAAAAAACTCACACAGTCCCATAATATTTTCATGTCCTATCTATTTTATTGTAATAACCACATAAGATTTAAGTCCCCACCCAATCGACATTTCCACTCATATGCACAGGTATAAGGATGTCAATGATTGAAGCTTAAGGATTTTTTTGAAAGGTAAATACATAAGTATATTATAATGCATACTTTTGAAAGCAGTTTAGATTGATTGGTTCGGAGATAAGCGGCCAAAATTGACTTGCTGTGTGAAATGAAATGAAATCACGACAGCTGCCTTCCAAAGCCGATTTATATTACGACTGCAGAATTGTAAATATGAATATTAAATATGAAATGGGAAAATTACGCAACGTAGCTTTTTACAAAATAATATTCCTTTCGACAAACTAATTAAACTAACCATTTTGCGAGCCGAATTGCAACTGACAGCTAGAGTTGTTGCCCATAAATTTCGCAATGAGGAACTTTATCGAATTTGTTGTGTTAACTGAACTAATTAAAATGTTTGATAGAGTTTATTTGCAACAGATTCACAAATAACTTTCAACTACATTTTGGTTTACATCGTACTTGTATTTGAAATTTGCAGCTCTCTGCCAAAATCAACTAAAATTGTTCAATTAGTTTAATCATGTGAACAAACAAGTGGCTAGTTTGTAACTAACTATGTTAATTTTGTGTAATCGAATGCACATATTTGTGCGGAATTATGTCAAAATATTTGTTTAATTTTAATTGAACTTTCACTTACCTTTGCATGCAATAAATTTGTCTACAACGCTAATTCGAGTACATGAACGAGTTTTGTCTTTAATTTTTGTATTTAATTTAGAGGTTGTTTGTTGCTTGTTTTTTTTTTGTCGCGTTTGATGTTAACCCCTTAAAGGCACAATTGCACAATTTGCTTTACAATAATTTAATTTTAGTTTATAACGAGCAGCTTGATTATTGTTTATATTTGATGCTTTCTTATTATTGTTGTTGTTATTCGTTGTTCATTTTGTCACACACACACTCGCGAGCACGTGAATTTCAGTTGAATTTGCTTTATTTATTTTGTATTATGTTTTATTTTTATGTATTATTTTGAGCACACTGGCACCAATTAATGAAAACCTGCTGAAAATTAAAACCGACATTTGTAAAAGTATTCGCCACACAAATGCAAGTGCATGGCCAAACATAGAACGAATGCCAACACACACACACACTCACAGTCACACAACACACACACACACACATAGACAACCGGGCCAAGAGAGCAATGGCAACACAAAAAGCCAAATAAAAAAGCCAAATCCAAATATATGAATTGCTTTCATTTTGTGGGCACAAAATACAGGGATATATGTCGGTCGCAATGTCTGACATTCGGCGGTCTGTCTGTCTGTCTGCCTGTCTGTATGTCGCGTACATTGTATGTGTGTCTTGTTGTGTTTGTGTGAGAGGACGCACATGTTCGGCTGGCGCGCCTGTTTGCATGCATGAATGTGTATTTGTGGGTGTGTGTGTCTGTGTGCACTTGAAAAGCATTTAACACAAAAAGCTATGCTCGGCAAGGCAAGGAAGGGCGAGGATAGGCGAAGAGCAGCAGCAGCCACAAAGATGGGCAGCAGCATCAGCTTCTGAAGCCAGACAAGATAAATGTCAGAGGTTATGGTGTTAATGTCGCTTTTATTTAAAACGGAAATCATTGGCAAGAACAAAGCGAAAATATGTAATAAAAAATAAATTAAATGGAAAAGTGCAACAACAACACGAACAACAATAACAACCAACAAAGCCAGAGCACACGAATGTGTCACGGATTTCATTGCTCATTGAATACGCATTCATTGGTTTGGTGAGCTGCGGAGAAAGCGACGCTTAGTCTGCGAGGACATGCAGCAGGACAACATCATTGAGGCAGAAAGGCACTGGCAATCGAGGCGAGCCGAGTCGAGTCGAGTCGAGTCAGTCAGTCTGCTAGCCTGCCAGCCAGCCTGCCTGCGTAAGCGATAGCGAAGGACACGCACACACACACACACGCATATGCCGATCCAAACGCACACACTGAAAGCGCCTGCGAAAATCAGTGGAAAATAAGCCACAGAGAAAATCAAAACTACGCGCAATGAAGGCGCTGGCCTGGCTGGCTCACTGGCTGGTTGTCCTGTCTGCCATTTGCGCTCGTTTGCATGTGTAGCATGTCGGTGTGTTACGAATCCATATACATATATATATATATATATATATATTTATATATATATATATATATATATATATATATATATATACGTAGATACGTGTGTGTGCGCGCGTTTGTGGCTTTGCCTCGTCCTTTACATTTTTGGCGTAATTGCTTGGCAATTGCAGTTTCGCATTTTATTGAATTTTACACAGAAAGCTTTATATTGCTCGCACACAAACACACACACGCACACACACTCCTCCTCCACACACGTCTGTATGAGTGTGTGTGTGTGTGTGCAGGGAGCACTTGTACAATTTTGTCATAATATTTTTATAGTATATGCCAATTGTTCGTTTGCACGCGCTCACAACATTGCCAAAACATTTGCCTTCGCTCCTACTTTTCTTTTTCTTCTACTCTATGGCATGTTTTTTTCCTCATTTCTATTTTGTTGCTTCTCTACGTTCTGCCTCTGCCACTGCCCTGGTGATTGCCTTGCACATGGACGTCGGCGACGACGACACATTTCCACAACTTGACATATTTATGTGTGTATGATTGCATTTTTTGTTATGTTTTTTTGATCATTTCACTTGCATTATTTTTTGGTAATTTTGCATTAATTTTATTTTATTTTTGTATAATTTTTTACATTCACAAAACAAACGCACAGGCTGACAAACACAGATAGAAAGACGCGCGTGCAACACACACACACGCACAGACATACCCATACAACACACACACACACACATACAGGTTAGAGTTGTACTATGGCCAAAGCCTCTGCCTGCGGAACCGCCCTAAAACAGTCGGAGAAAAACTGAAAATGAAAATTTGTGAAAAATTTACCCAAAGCACGCACGCACGCGAAGCGTCAGCGCCAGTGCCGGAGCCAAAGCCAGAGTCAAGCCAAGCATGCAAAAGAGAGCGCAAAACTCTATGAGTGTGAGCTTTATGCGAAAATACCGTTATTTGTCATTGAAAGCAACAACAAGTAAGCGCTGCGAGCGTAACACAATCAATAAGCTTCAACTCAGTAAGAAGGCGGCCAGCCCGCAAAGCCAAAAGTAAAAGCAAAAGCTCTCGCTCGCTCACTCATTGAAGAGCGAATGAGAGCGGGTGGTGAGCGCCACAGGACTGAGTACGCTGGCTGGCAGGCAGGCAGGCAGCATGCTTGTGAATGCTTGATTTTTAAACAAATTGGCAGAATTTGTTGTTGTTGTCAAACATTGATAATTTCAAATAAAAATCAAGCTCTGCACACATACACATGGAGACACACACGAGCTTTGCTTAGCCACAACTTGCAACTACTTCCTTTCTTGTTTTTTTTTCTTGTAAATACAAAACACACTGTTGGAATTTTTCCGGATTGGCAATGCGCTCAACACGTCTGACTTTCACCGTCGCCACAACATGAATGGTCAGGTGTGCGCGTTGCTTGGCATCCCGAAGCTCTGGCGCTTATGTTGGCGCGCTTAGCCGTTTCTTCTGCTGCTGCTGCTGCTGCTGGTGATGCCTGCCTGCCTGACAGAGCGTAGGCGGCGCTTCACTCTCTCTGTCTCTCTGGCCATGTGTGGGTGTGAGAGCACGCGCGTTTTGCTAAAATACCGTTATTTCTGACAAGCAGTGCTGTCCACTTGCTATCGGCCCAGCCTGTTTAGATTTGACAGCGCAGAGTTGCTGTGAAAAATGCATCAAATGTGAAAGAAGAGAGCGCGCGCGCATATTGAAAAAGCGACACTGTAAGAAAAAAGCAAGCTTTTTGTGACGCGTAACGGCTTGTGAAGGGCCCGCATTGGGTAGAGGAACATTATGATGATGATGCTAATCATAAATTCGCTGCCAAACAACTGTTGAAGTGGCACTCTTATTGAGCTGGCAAATCAGGCCTCATCAATCTGTCAACTCTTTGCATAGACCATACGGCCACTTAGCACACACACACAAACACACACACACATGCACGTACAATATGCCAGCATAAGGACGAAGGAAGGCTGGCAGTAACGACAAATGTTCAAGCACCGCTCTGCCTGCCTACTCAAGGTGCAAATTAACGCCATCGTGGCAAGCCAGGACTGGGAAGGGCTTCTTAGCCTGAAGCGCCGTTAGGCGGCAATTTTGTAGGCATAATTAAATATTAGTGGGCATCTTCATCGTCCTGCACAGCTGTGCATTGCCCGCAGAAAACTGAAACTTGTCGATGAGAAACTCATGCCCAACATGCTGAGTTGGTGTGTGGTGGCATGTTGCTCCTGCGTGGCATGCGGGTCACTGGCATTGCGATGAATGTACCTCGATGCCTCGTGCCAAGGTGCAAATGCAACATGCAACTGGCCAAAAAAAACACGCACACATACACACACAAAAGCGGTACACAATAAAAAAAAGGAGCAGCAGCTATCAGTTTACAGGCCGTTTGAAATTTAATAGCCACAGATGCTGACTTTTAGTTCCTTTTTTTCTATGACGATTGTTGTTGTTATTGCTTGTGACAGAGATGCTGTCCGCGCTCTAGTGCTGCGCAAATAAGCAAACGCACCCCGCTGCCTTAGGCAGGACATCAATAAGGGTAAGGGTAAGGGTGCGTACGGCATGATTTTACATAATTCCTACACCCTTCAGAAACCACGCACATAGCGCGTATATATGAGTGTGTGTGTGTGTGTGTGTGTGTGTGTGTGTGTGTGTGTGTGTGTGCATTGAACTTTCGGTCTCGAATGCACACTATAGATGTAGGCAGGACATCGTCTAGTAAATGGTAAATAGTATATGGCACTTTTGACGCTTTAAATTGATTCACACCGCACACAAAACATTCCCAACACACGCAGGCACACCCCCTCGGGGCGCATATCCGCCTTTACGCACAGCATTTTCAATATGCGCGGACAGTGGATGGTCCATATAATGAGTACCATATAGATATCAACAGATTCCAACATATTATCTGCTCCAGTAAAAAAGCCCTATACATGTTAATATTTTGCTTATCTTCTTACTTATATTTCTTAAACAATATTTTTCATGCCAAGTTTTCGACACAGCGCCTCCTGTTTAAGATCTGAGGAAAGAACAGAGAAACCGCCGCCCGAAATTGGAGAGTTTCGAAGACAAAAAAGACTAGATTAACATGGTTAATAAAATAAAATAAAATAATTCACCATAATTTCCTTTATACTTAGTATAATTTATTTTACTTAAAAACTATCACATTATATAATACGGTAATCTGTATCTCAGAATGTAAATAGAGCACACAACAAAATATTAAAAATCTGTAACATTTACAAAAAAAAAAAAACGTATTTTAGTGACTTATATTAAAAATATATCTACAGTTTCTAATAATAATTGCTTATAATCGTATCCGTAATTTGTATTTTCCAGGTCTAGAAATGGACTTTAATGATCGAACAAAAAGCAAAGGATCTTTCGCTTCAAACATGCAGACGGACGGACAAAAAGTCGTCAAGAATATATAGACTTTGTCTGGTCTGCCACGCCTCCTTCTGTGTGCAACATACATTCGCTCTAGATCTGTATACTCTTGTATACTCCTGGCATAAATTATACTATCAAGAAATTAAAATTAATCAATTAATGAAGATCTATCGCCGTCTTATCAAATTGTGATCGTCGAAAAAGTCTTCTTATTTAAGTAGAGTAATTTTTTCATTTTTTTATTAAATAAAAATCCGCCGCTTCGTTGTCCCACTGTACTTTCACATCAGCCCATGCTGTCATGCATTTGTATGCATTTGATTAAACATTTTTTACGCGTTTCCGTTTTTTGTTTAGGGCATCATTAGTCGGCACGTTAGTTATCCTGCCCGTTGATGCGATTGTGCATGTGAATGTGCATGTGGATGTGGTCCAGCAGCAACGGAACCCCCGCACTCCGCACTCTGCACTCTGCACCCTGATACACACGCACACTCGCTTATTCAATCGCTTGCTCACACCCGCGCACCCTTTTTGGGCGCATTTGGTATTCGTGTTGTTGTGTACTTAGGCGCAAGTTGCATCTGTCCACTTCCGTTCTGGAAGTTTGGTGCGTTACTTGTGCCGGTTCCTGAGCCCGTGTTACTGTGATGTGATGCCAGTGCTTGGTCCTCCGATGGGTATTTGTGTGGGTGTGAGTATGTGTCGTTATTTGTTTTAGCTGCTTTTAAGTGCCATCGTGTTTTGGGTTTTGGTTGTGGGTGCAGGCAGGCAAGCTGGCTGGTTGGCTGGCTGACAGGAAGCGATCGATAGCCCATGTCAATGTCCTTTAATGGCATTTCATTACAGGAACAGAAACAGAAACAACAACAGCCAGCCATAGAGGGAGCGTAGCTATGTATGCTGTTGAGCCTGCGGTTTTATTTACCCATCACTTGCAGTTGCTTTACGAGTGCCATCAAATGGCCATTGAGCATTATGAGAAAATTGCCAAGACAAAGCATGAGACGTACACTTTTCATCATCATCATCATAATCATCATCAACAACATCGTCATCACTAAAAGCATTGAAATTAGTTGTAAAATGCAATGCAACCCTTAAAACCTTGTAGACAGTGCCCCCTGGATGACTGGGCTTTATAGTTATGGTCCGATACATGCAGACATACTATACTCGACATACTATATCGAGGAGGAAAGTGTTTACTTGCACCACAATTATAAAGTGATTACACATAAGTCTTGGAGGGTGACACGCTTAGCAACCCATAAAAATGTTTACTACAAAAACAATCGAACATTTCTTCGGCTTTCCAAACAACAATAAAAGCAACAACGGCAGCAACAACAACAGCCACTATATTTTGTTTTCAGTTCTTTTTTATTCAAATTTTTCAATACACCATTTACAATTTTTATTCAATTTTCTTCGTTTGATTTATAAAATATAAAAAATATACAAATATTACGTATGTATAAAAATATATATATATATATATATATATATATATATATATATATATATATATATATATATATATATATTTATATCTATATAAAATATATATAGTACAATTTTGTCTTCTTCTCCTTCTTGCTTCTCATTACGTACATTATTGTTAGCGCAGGTATAAAAATGTCGACCACGTTTTGTAAAATGTATACTTAAACTGTAATATCACAAGACAATTTCTATATACTATACAAATATTTGTTACTTAACTCTTAGATATGCTTAATGTTGATACATATTACATATATGTACATATGTATGTATATATATGAATGTGTGTGTTTATTATAGATTGAGCGAAGTTTTCCCACTTTCGTTGTACTCTGTGTGTTTACAACCGATATTTGCTTTGAACATTATTACTGACTAAGGAACAATAGCGCTGTGATATTGCTCGATCGCTATACCTAGAGACTAGTTGACTTTTAAGTACACAACCGCTGGTTCTATTCTGCCTCTGGCTATGTGTATAAAATGTATATTAAATTGTACTCTTCCAATACATTCGCTGGTAGTGAGACGCTGGTTTAATGTCCGTTTATAAAAAATCTAAACTAAACTATTTAAGTTAAACTAAACTTAACTGTGAAGGCGCTCTAACGAGTCGCTCTAAATTACTAACTTAGGGAGCCTACGTCATGACTAGAGTTCACACTCGACTTGTAAGTACAGCACTGGGTTTTAAGCTGACACTGGTACTACATGGCTTAGAAATAATAATCGTATTGGAATGCCTAAAACTATTACTGCACACTTTTGCCTGAATTTCGTTGGAGGTGATTTTGAAATTTTCGAAACTGAAATAAAAAACTAATAAAGCTATATCCGAATTTTCAAAAGGATCCTGCGAAAGGGACCACTTCAATTTTAATGAGAACATAATGAAAGCTGATTAACGCCTAAAGTTGACTAGAGAATAAGTTATGCGGATAGCCTAACTAATGACTAGTGAGTGACTAGAAGTTGCCCTTCGAATGTCTGGAAACCATGAAAGCAAAACTTTCTGGAAACTTCCAGCAATGTTGCATTTTTTCTGCTGCGCAACTTCTCGGGACTTGATATGTTTTCAGAAAATGACTAGAAATAATTAGTATTGACTGAGCATAAGTAATTAAATAATTTGACTGCATAAATTATAGTGTATATATAGGTAGTAGTATGTCCACTTAAATTATTGACTAGACAATAAAAACTAGTGTAGCCTCTCAAATTAGAAGCCTAAACAATAAATGACTAGATGAGAATTTTTAAAATTTTTGACTGAACTTTGGGGATTTTAAAATTGTTTCAATTTGGTAATTTTTAAATGATTTTTGGTATAAATTGCAAATGACTTAATTGTATTTCTTTGGTATAAGCTGACTGAAATATTTAGTTGAAATATTTTCGGGTTTTTAAAATTGTGCCGCTTTCAATCCTTAAAATATTTTCTGGTATTAACTGCTTAACAAATTCATTGGAAAAACAAATACTATGTGGTTAGTCCTGGTCTATTGATTTAACTGATAAAAATGAATCGAGAATATTGAAAATATTTTGAAACTGTGCAGATTTGGATTAGTTATTATTTTAACAACAATTGGGATTCAAAACTTAGTGTGATTCGAAATGCTTTGTTAATAAAATTGGTTAATGTTTGTTTTCAATATCTTTGAAGCTATTATTAGATACCAGCATTTCAAAAAATTCAAATAGAAACTCTTTCATTTTGTATCTAATATTTGTTTTAAACATTTTTTTTGAAACATATTTGGCAACAATTTCGAAAATATTAAGCAAAATATTTCAATTGTTTTCCACAGATCCTGATTCTGAATATGCGAACTTATTGAATACGCTTTTGCGTTCTTTGGATTATTTTGGTTTGGTTTGGAGAACCTTATCCCTCACTATAGACTAACTAAATTAAATGCCTGACTGGTCAACTGCAAATTGCACAATTGCTTTGCACGATTTCGAGATCATATTGAAGCTGATATAGTATTGATGCTGCCTATTTAAAACTTAAACTGTATATAGTAGGTATGTACTTGTATGTGTATAAAGTAAAAACTAACTGACTAGAGATTGCCGTCTGCCTAACTAATAATAGTACGAACAACTAGAAGGGAATGTGTTTTGAAGCATGGAGTACAACTAAATTGTTAATAACTAAGGCTTAACTAAAATTCAATATGTAACTGAAGTTAAACATGTAAATTTTCTTGCATAGACTATAGGGTTCTTTGGTCTGTTTTTAGCTGTAGGTCTCAAGCGTGGAAACAAGAGCGTGAAAGGTTAAGAACTAAACTTAACAATAGCTATTAAACAAAATACATAAATATATATATTACACAACCAACTCACTTTACTCACTCACTGGACTCCCATTGGACTCCACTCCACTCCTCTCCAGGTACGCCCCTTAGTGCGCCAAGGTCGTGTGTTGAATGACGGAGGCACAGTTTCGCAAATTTGTTAGAGCGGCCGCCGCAATACTCTCCTCTTCGGTCAGGCCGTGCTCGACGATTTGGAGGCGACCATAGCCGGCCGAGCTGCTGGAGGAGCTGCAGTCGGACATGTAGTCGGGCTCGTAGTCGCAGTGGCTGCTGCTCGCCGCACCCACCACATAGACGCCCTCATCCGGATAGGAATGCGAGCTGCTGGCCGAGCTGGAGCTGGCGCTGGAGCTCGAGCTGGACTTGTAGGGTGCTGCCTGAAAGCTGGCTGTGATGGTGGTGGTGGTGGTTGTTGCTGAGGCTGCTGGGGCTGCTGGATTTGTTGGGGCGGTCGTGTCATCCTGAATTGTTGTTGTTGGCTGCAGCTTTTTCTGCGTTCCACGCTTCGCATGCGTTTGCTGATGTTTGCGCAGATAGGCTTGACGTTTAAATTTCTTGCCACATTCTGCACAGCCAAAGGGCAGCTCTTCAGCATTCTTTCCAGACTCATTATGTAGCTGCTGCTGTTGTTGTTGTTGTTGTTGCTGCTGCTGCTGCTGATTGATGGTATTGCGATTTTCCTTCTTGGATGCCGGCTCCTTCTTTGGCTTGTGCCAGCGTCGATGTGAGGCCAAATTGGCCGGACAATTGAACTGTTTGCCACACTCGGGACAACGGTATTCAAGGAGGACAATGCAGGCGCAACGATGCCGTGCCAGCCCAAAGGCATCCTCGAACTTAATGCGACACAGCTTGCACACATAGTCGCCAATGACATTCTTAATGGCCGCCAGCTCCGCTTTGGTCTCCTCAGTTACTTCGACGATATTGTATTTGGGATCGATGTCGCCATTACTGTACTGCATGGTGCCATCGGTAATATCCTCGAGCGGACGTATAATGGTGCCGGAGACCGGTGAACTGGTCTCCTCATCGAATTTAAGCTTGCGCGTCGCTTTATTTCGTTGGGGCTTTGTGCTCGGCGTTGGTGGTTTTGAGGTGCGCGGTGCCGTATCGGCGGCTTTGATGGGCTTCGCTGGTGTGGTGGCAACTGCAGTAACTACTGGGAGGACTACCTCCGCTTCGACCACCATTTCAGTCGCCTCCCCACCTGCTGGCTGTGGTTGTGCCTGTTCTATGTGCTTCACTTTTGGCATTTTGGCTGGCTGCTCAGCATCATCCTCACTGCTTTGCTGTAGTTCGTTAAATTTTCGCTTCGCTGGACTCTGCGGTGGCGTTATGGGCTTTAATGGCATGGCAGCTTCTGTGGGCGAATGTCGGATGGATGGGAGTGATGTGGTTGCTGCTACTGTTGCTGTTACTGTTGATGTTGCTGCTGTGCCTGATACCGGTTCGGTATAGACTTCGGCAAATGCGGTTGCCATTGGCACATCGTTCGCTATTTGCGGTGATGGCGGCTTTACAGACAAATCCAAGGGTATTTCACACTTGGTCTTGATGTTCAGATAGCGACTGCGATATTTGGGTGGCAGCGATGCCACAGTGGTCAGCAGACCCAGCCCATGTGGCATGCCCGTTGCATTGTGCAGCAAACGAATGCTGTGTGCTGTTGCGCCCCTCTCGGCGATGTTGTTGTTGCTGGCGACGCTGGCCATTGCACAGTTGCGCGTTTTAACGTAATTTTGACAAACTTAAACAAACGAGCCGAACTTCAATAAAATTTGCTTAATTTTTTGTTTGTTAGAGAGTGGGAGAGGAGGGGGGAATAGCGAACAAACGAACGAACGAACGATTCGAAACTTAATAACAAATTGAAAACTGAACTGGAACTGAGCTTGAGAGAACGAGAACGATAACGAGAAGCGTTTGCCGGTTGCCGGTTGCTAGCGCTCTTCTGCCTGCTTGCCTGCCTTGCCTCTCTGCTTCCTGTCGGCTCAACGTTTCTGCTGCGAATGACTAACAGCATATCCTGCCGGCTCTATTTATGTGTGCCAAAGGAAAGCGAAATTAAAATCATTGTTTGTGTGCGACGACGTCGTCGTCGTCGTCGCCCAACACACAGCTCTTGCTCTTGAATGTGTGTGTGTGTGTGTGTGGAAATTTCATCCCCCGTCATGTCGTTGTCCTTTTAGCCCTTACGTGCAGCGACGCCGGCGCTGTTGCTGTTGCTTTTGCTTTGGCTGTTCCTGCCGCAAAGCCGGAATCTTTTGTTAGCAATCACACACATTAGTCACCCTTTTTTCCACTCAGGCGGGGGGAGCCCTATAGTCGAAGCCGTGCATGTCGCCTCCGTCGCCGCCGCCGTCGACGTCGGCAGTGAAAGTCCTTTGCATTGTGGTTGGTGCACATTGCACTTGGAAAAATCATTGTTTATTATAATTTTGCAGCTGTGCCTCAGGTTGCCACGTTCCACAACTGCCAGGCCCGTTTGTGTGCGCCTGTGTGTTTGTTGCAACATTTGGCTTGCAAATTCTGTGATTCAGGGAATTTCTAGGTTCACTGACAATGGCCTAGCGGGTTGTCTGCTCTCTTTTTGGCAACAGCTGATAGCCATGAAGCCATTGATTGTGCCTGAAACCGCGGCACAAATTTGAATTGAATGCTCAAACTAAAACTCAATGGGCCGGAAGGATATACCAGATGAAGACATAGGCAAGCTGCTTTGTTACAAATTCATTGTAGAGAGGAAGCAGTTAAAGTTAATTGCGCCTATATTCTAAACATTTTGTATGCCAGAGTTGCGAATTCAAAATTTTTATTTATTTTTTTTATTTTTTTGTGCTGATCCTGAATCTCTTCATTCTGTACAACTGTTTCTCTCCTTCTCTGACATTCTTTCCCTTTCCGATTCCAAATCGAAATAAAAATTTAACAGAAAACAAAATCTTCAATTTGAAAAACTCTTCTATCTTTCCCTTTCCGATTCCAAATCGAAATGAAAAACTCTTTCTGAGCTCTTTTTTCATTTCAAAACTGCTTTCTTATAAGAAGTGGAACATGCAACATAATTTTTTCATACCAGAAAAAAAACTAATTTCTTGATATTTTGACGCTTTCAAGCATTTTCGGATAGATCTGTGCTTAAGTTCTGCTCAACTAAAAGATAGTTGCAGTCCAAAAATAACTGTTTAATATAAATTAAATAATAATGTATATACTCGTAGTTTATTAACAAAAAAACATTAAAATAGAAACAAAATAACCATAAAATAACGTTTCATTATGCATTTTGAGAAATATTTAAATAGTAATGTAATGTAATAATTGTACAATTCCTTATAATTTCTCACTTGAAAGTACTGTTAATGTATGTATAACGTATTAACGCTTCACACTTTACTGAAAACTCGAAGGATATATGGTTTGTAAAGCACCCACAAGGAACCCCATTTCTATGACGAGACAAATTTATTTGTCTATCTATTTTACTGACTACTACTTTCATCCATTTGGAGGCAAAGTGATGAAACTTTGCAGACTTCTTTTTGACAGACACAGATAGTATGGGGAGACCGATCATGTCAGGCCCTTACTTGTACTCATATATTAGATAGCTGTCATACAAACGACTTACGCAGATGTGCAGATGACTAGGCCTTTCCTAGGTACTTATGAGTTCTAAAAATATTCGTCGTCAATTCGACCAAGAATAACCTCACTAAAAAGTAAGTTATTTACCAAAATAAAAAAAAATTTTTCTTGAAACTAACTTCCTTTATTAGTTTTGGGCTTATATACAAAATTATATCAACAATTTTTACTAAAGTTTGATTTAATTTACCAAGTTTCGCGATGACAAATAAAACTACTTGAAGCTTAGTCGAAATATATTAAGACGGTTTATGCTGAGGTTGAATTCTGCTAAAATTTAATAAAAAAAATGTATTATTTTTTTTAAATCTTTATTTTTTTATTTAAGATCTGTCCTAGGGTGGACTATTATTAAATTTTATGATAACTTCAACATTTTTGTAATGATGCTCTTCTTCTCATGATGGTTGCGGCGTGATTCGAACCGAGTACCTACTCAAGGAACGAAATCACAATTATGGCATTCCTGCTAGCTCAATGAGCCAGGCGCCGTAATAAATAAAATAAAAAAGGACTTAAAAATAAAAGGGGAGAACTTTGTGATTGGGGATCCAACAGGAACCATTTAAAATTGGCCGTATTTGTTTCGACAAAAAATAAACGTAACATAAGAACAAGCGTGAGAACTAAAACTGACGTTCTGTTTTGTACTGTATTAATATTTCTCTCAGTGCATGCTGTTGTTGCATTTTCCTTGTGAGCTTCGCTCCTCGCTGTCTACGCACAAACGCACACAACAACAAAGACAGCAACAACAACTATGCTAAGCTCGTCAAGTTTGCTTTTGGTGGGGTAGGTAGCAGAATGGAACGCACACGGAACGAACTCAAGGCGGCGCAGCACGAGCTCTGCCACTCACCACAACACACACAGACAGGACTATTGTGTGTGTGTGAGTGCTTTGCATTAATATAATCGAAATGCGACGCCATCGCGAACGCCAACGTCGACTCTCAACTGGCGTTGTCATGAAAGGGAATGCACTTTCGATTCAGTAAGAGGTCTTTTTGCCGATGCCGCGCGCTTTACACAAAATACAAATATGGCATATTATGTTCAACATGACGCCATTGTTGTTGTTGTTGTTGTTGTTATTATTGTTGTATTACGGTAGGCACGTGCGTAGCAACGGCGCGCCGCCACTGCCACTGCCACCCCAATTGGGTTTTAAGTATTCCCAAAAGCAGCAAAAGCAGTTGCTGCAACTTTATTTTATTTTTATTTTTTTGCCAAGCACGATCGCCAAGTGGGGTGGCTCGTCGGTCGTCTATCGTCAGTCAGTCAGTCAGTCAGTCAGGCAATGCGCCCCTCAATCAGTGTTTGCCATGCAGCTTAGAATTAATAGCGCACGCACCGAGCGAGTCTGCGAGCCAGAGAAGTGCGCCTGCCACGCGAGCAGAGGCAGGACATCGCAGCATGCTAGATAATTCCAACAAATGCGAATACTCCTGTCTGCCTGCCTGCTTGCCTGCCTGGCTGGCAACGTCCTTTGTGAGCTGCAAAATTCCAACCCTGTTTGCAACCCTCCAGCAGCAACAGCAACAACAATAGCAAGTCTCCTTGCTATTCTAACAACTGCCGAACTGTCGTCCTGTCAGCCACAAATGTTACGTTGCTACGTTATTTCAAACAGCATACAAGTATACATACACAAAACAAAATCAAAATATATATTTTAATTATTTCAGTTGCTATATTATCATAGATACTTTCTTAAAATATTTGTATTAATCCTGTCCATTTTTAAATAAACATTTAATGATGTTGCAAGCCCGGGCAATGGCTAAAATTCCACACAAAGCTTATATTTATTATAATTATAATTCAATTATAATTATCAGTTCAATTTATTTTGTTTAGCTCACTAAAATTAAACAAATTTAAAATACTAATCCAATACATTATGTTAAAAAAAGCCATTCAAAACATTCTGAAATATAACTATTTAGTCCTTCAAAATAAAATACGATCTTTTGGAAAGTTGTATAATATTTAATTATTTAATATTATTATTAAATATTAGCAACTAAACAAAGAACAAATATATGTAACGAAAATGTTTCCACCAACTTTTTAAATGAAATTTCTTCCCGTTTCAATGCCTTTGTTGATCTGAATTTGAATACAGAAATTGTAATTTTAATCCGAAATTTCAATGCTTAACAATATTAAAAAAGAACTATTTTCTGGAAGCCACTCCAAGTTTGGTTTTGGCCAAATTAAGCAGAAATAAAATTAAGGGTTCTGTTAGTAAAGTTTATTAAAAAAAAACTTTACATTTGTCTCAGCTCAGGTTTCTTAATAGGCCGTCATAGCATAATTTAATAAATAATCTAACTGGATCGAGCGAATACTGATTTGGACAACAATAAAATATTATAATTAGATTGAAATTATGTTGTGCATCACAAAAAAAAAACTATCGCTCAGTATTCGTATAGTAGCATAATGCTTGTTTTTGTTATAATTTTTTTTTTTTTGAGTGTACCAGCAATCGTATATCCTTTTGACTGCTCTGATTTGTGGGCCGCTTGCCTGCGTTTAAGAGAGCGCTCCAAGGCGCGCTTAGCTCAAATTTGCACTCAACAACACCCACGAGTGTACGATGCCAAAAGGAATTGATTGTGCAGGTGTGGGGGGATCCCCTTTGGTACGCTACGCATACGTTTCTTTGCCTGTTTGTTTGTTTGTTTGTCGTTCATTGCTAACCCTTAAGTGCATCTTTTTATGGTAATTTCAAGTGGAGTCGCACGCCTGTTTCTCTGCCAGCCTGTCTGTCTCTCTGTCTATCTCAGAGATTGCCAGACTGCGTCGCGGCCTTGCCTTGCCTTGCCTTGCCATGCCGTGCCTTGCCTTGAAAGCGAATTGCAATAATTAATGTTCGAAAATGCATCGTTTATGTGGCATAATGCATTTTCATTTTCATGTACATACTCGTATACGCGAGTATGTAGTATGTCTCAAAAGCCTTTGGAGTGCCCCAGCAGCATCGCAAGCTCTTGCTTCGGTACGCCTCAAGGATGCTCCACTTGTGGCACATGTTGCCATTGTCGCCCTCATCCTC